ATCTCCGACGAGTTGTAAGGTTATTCGCAATGAAAAGAATAAATTCGTTCCCACAAGGACAATTAAGGGATGGAGAATGCGTATATATCACCTTGATCACTCACCTGCATGAGTCCTAAAGCAAATAGGCGTCAAGTTGAAGACGTTAAACAAGCGCTCTTGGGAGGCAACCCAATGTTTTGAATTTGTTTTTTTTTCTTTTTGCAGTTTAAGTTTTTTTGTGCATTTTTCTTCCTTAGGTTCTTTCTTTGCAAAATTGCTCCAGGTACACAGTGCACTTCTTCTCAAGACTTTGAAGCCTTACTTCAATAGCACTGGGGACAGATCCAACTTTTCTCGGAGAGGTGAGAAAGTCACGTAGCTGAGGTCGAGGCACAAGATAAGGAGTACATGACAAGTGAAGAAAATGAGGGAGGAAACTTACTTTACTTTTAATGTTTTTAATTCCTTTGTTTTTAATTTAATGTTTTTAATTGTTTTATTTTAAAATTTGAATTCCCTTGTTGTCCCATAATTTATTTTAGATCCATATATGAGATTATTGCTTATTGTCTAATTCAAATCTAGAACGTGAAAAATAATTTTGATTGTTTCCAATAACAAGTGATTTTAGGATATTGAGTATGATAGTGAAAATAAATTGATGAGGAAAATTAGGAATTAACTGAATTGGAGAAGCTAGCCAAAACCCAGGTGAGCAGAGTACCACAAACAGATAAATTGAGTGTCAACACTTTGTGATGATAACTGATATTGGTTGATTCTTTGATGTGATTACATGTTAGCAAGACTTGAAAATGATAAAGACAATTTTTTCTTTGTAGTAGATATAACCCAGAGCCAAATAGCCAACCATGCATTAATTATAGGACATCCATTTCAACCCCTTCTGAGCCAAAAAAAAAAATAATATTGTTTCTTAAACAGAACCCTTAAGCCTAAACACTATTTATCTACCTTCCTATATTTGAGAAAGGAAATGAATATTAATGTCACTATTTTTCTTATTGTTGGGTATTGCTATTGTTGTCCTACAGGTATTGTTGGGGTGTTATTGTTAAAAAAAAAAAGTGTAAAGAAAAAGGAAAAGCAAAGCTTAAAAATTTGTAAAGTCAAAAAAAGGATACATGTTAAAAAAAAAAAAAGTCAAAAGGGGGGTAATAACTTGTGAGAATATTAACTCATTGTCATTGTGTTAGGGACAAAAGCATAAAGTTTGAAACCTGACTTGAGAAATTGTTAATCAAGAATCATTCATATGAGTTGAATTTCTCAAATATTTTTGTATATCCCAGAAAAACCAATAATTCTTTCTTAGCCCAGCCCCATTACAAGCCTCAAAAGACCTTTTGATTTAAGTCTTGTTTAACAATTGTTGATTGCTTGAAGATGATTATCAATATTGGATTGTCTAAATGAAGTGATTGAATGAGATAAACACTTACCTGTGAGAATTAGAGATGAGTATATATAACTCTATTTGAGAGATCATGCTTCTCTGAGGATAGTTGAGGACTAATTATTCTTTGTTGGTTTCTATAACTTGAATGCTTATGTGTTCTATTTTCATTTGGAGTTGTGAGCATCACCTCTGAAAATTTTTATGTTGTGGTTCTAGAAGAGAAAAAGATAATAGGTGATGATTTTGTTTTGGAAAAATTACTTTGCTTGGGACAAGCAAGATTCTAGGTTGGGGGGAGTTGTTAAGTGGTAAAAAGTTGATATAATTATGCCTTGAATTGTTATGAAACCACTTCACTTATGTTAATTCTAATATATTTTTCTCCCAATATATGATGAATTCGAGAATACCTTGATACAAGAGTAAAGAGCATAATTGTCAACATAATTGGAGTAAAATTGAAAGAAAGAAGAGCGCTTAAGCGAATGAATGATGCAAGGCCCGACCCAAATTCTCTTATAAAAAGATAAGTTGTGTTTTGAGAAAAGCAAGTAGTCTTGGAGGAGAGGAGGCACGACTATTGTTAGGGTTTTGTCCAATCTTCATCAATTCTTCTTCATCAATTGAAGCATTGTAATGGCCAACATGAGTGGCTAACTTCATTCTCTTAGGATTCGGTGCACTTCCTTTGAACTCTTTTATATCATGGTGATATTTTGATATATTAATCTATGCTTTGATGTTGTTACTCTTATCCTTTATGCTTTGGAATGATTTATTCTTGATTGTTTGAGGTATGATTGGAAAATATATCTTGAACCCTAGATCACGATAAGAATATTTGTTACGTTAATTGTCAGGAATGGAATGAATGTATCAATTGCTTAACACCCTAACTCTAATGCTGGAAAATCTGTTAATTGTGTGAGGAATCAACATTTATTAGGTTTTCTTATGAATTTCATGTGTGAGGAATCAACATGGATGATTTGAGTAGGTGGCATCAACATTGTTAGGTTAATTGACGTTCTTAATTGATTTAGCCATTACAAAAGAGGGATAAGGAAGGAAGTCAATCCTAAGTACCTTTAATTGATATTTTCTCAACAATTTACAAGTCTTTGTCATTTAATTTCAATTCAACTCTTATTTGTAAAACCTAATATGTTTTAATCTACTTAGTAAGCATAATTGGGAATTTCCATTGAAACTGTTCCTCGTGAGATCGACTTTTATTTAATCGAAATACTATACTGCGATTGATAATTTGGTACGCTTGCCAATATTTCAACATTGATTCCTCACGCAATTAAGAGATTTCTCAGCATTAGGTTTAGGGTGTTTAAGCAATTGATATATTCATTCCATTCCTGGAAACTAACGTAACAAATATTCTTACCGTAATCTAGGGTTCAAGATATATTTTCCAATCATACCTCAAACAATCAAGAATAAATCATTTCAAAGCATAAAGGATAAGAATAACAACATCAAAGCATAGATTAATATCTCAAAATATCACCATGATACAAAAGAGTTCAAAGGAAGTGCACCGAATCCTAAGAGAATGAAGTTAGTCACTCATGTTAGTCATTACAATGCTCTAATTGATGAATAAGTGGAGAATTGATGAAGATTAGACGAAACCCTAACAGTAGTCGTGCCTCCTCTTCTCCAAGACTGTTTGCTTTCTCAAAACACATCTTATCTTTTTATAAGAGAATTTGGGTCGGGCCTCGCATCATTCATTCACTTAAGCGTTCTTCTTTCTTTCAATTTTTCTCTAATTATGCTGACAATTATGTTCCTTACTCTTGTATCAAGGTATTCTCGAATTCATCCTATATTGGGAGAAAAATATATTAGAATTAACATAAGTTAAATGGTTTCATAACAATTTAAGGCATAATTATATCAACTTTTTACCACTTAACAGTTTACAAAACCCAAAGCCATCAATGTATCCTTGAACATTGGACAGACTGCATAACATATTTTGATCCATTTTAAAATATAGTCCAGGTTGAATCGTTAGATTTTGTTTACTTAAATCATAGGGTGAGATCAGGTTACGCTAAACCGTCTATTTTGAGAGTCCTATATTTTACCTATTCACATTTTTTTAATCAATTTGATTTTTTCAAAATTTTCAATCAATTTGAACACAACATTATTTTTTTCTTTTTTTATTATTTTATAAATATTATTTTATTTATAATTTATCTTTATTAGATTTTATTATATTATATTTTTTTATCTTATTATTTTTATTTATCATATATTAATTTTTATCTTAATAAAATAATAATATTTTAAAAATTTAAAAATAATTAATAATTAAAACTTATATTATTTTAAACTCATTAAATAATAATTAACTTATTAATTAATTTTTTATAAACTATATATTTCATATTTTTAAATATTTTTAAATAATAACTTAATAAATAATTAACTTATATATATAATCAAAATATTTGAATAATAATAATAATATAAATATTTTATATCTATATAAAAAATTATTAAATATATATATATATATATATATTAATATAAATATAGTTAATTAAAGTATATATTTAATTAAAAATAATAATTACAAATTATAAAAATAAAATTATTTATTTAAATATAAAAATTATAAATAATAAAAATTATATAAAAATAATGTAAATCCGAAAATGAAACGGTGATAAGAAAACTCAAAACTTAACGACAGAGGATTTAATTTCTAATCGTAACAAGATACGGGAGAAAAGTACCGAGATGATTAAAAAAATTGAGGGAAGAAAAAACCCAGACATGACAAGCTGAACTAATTACTTTTTATTATTAATAGGAATTCAACATATATCAAAAAATGTATAACATTTTCCGTTTTATGTTTAAATAATCGAGCTATATTTACTACAAGCTGGCTTAGTTATCTCAACAATAGACTGTTCTTTTTTCTTTTTCTTTTTCTTTTTTTCATTTACACTTAAAAATTGTAATAGTTTATTTTCTTCTTCTTTTTTATTTTTTTAGTTTGGAAATTTTGATTTTAATCTTTATAATTTTTCTTATTTTTTATCTCTATAAAATTTGAAATCACTTTTCTAAGTCCTCATAAATATGAATTTTAGATAATATTTTCTTTCTTGCCAGGAACCTTTATCCGGTGCATCGCATTTGCATTATTGTTTGATAAAGAAAAATATGACAAGATAAAAAAAAATGTGAAAACTTACTCATATATTTAAAACTGGTTGAAAAAAACAAAATAAAAGTTAAAAGTAAGAAAATAAATAATTTAATGGAAGAAATAAAAATAATAATAAAAAATAAAAGAAAAATAAAAAGTGTATAATAAAGAAAAACGGATATCCCATCCCTCCTCTTATTTTTTTTCTAAAACGGAGAATTTCAAACCCGTAGGCAATCTAGTTGATCTTTTTCCTGTCTGGCATACCAAAACACCAAACTATCAGTGAATCCTAAAAAGGTACAAGGCAGCTAATGTGAACAACAACCACACCCAAATTAGCAAAACATGTAACATATAACATTGCTTGACTAAGATTACCCAGCATAGCTAACAAGGACATTAACAAATCTAAAGATGGTTCAGAAGGTAGTTTAGCAATCCACCCATGTATCTTTCCTGTCTTTCCTTATTCACAAACAAATCCTTCACCTCCTTAATGGTTTCTCTGTAGATCCTTCCCTCTTCCTCCACCACAACCAGCCTCAGTGAGTCAGCAACCGCGTCACTCGTGAACGATCCATCTCGTTCATCTCTGGGCAGAGAATACCCCATCTTCTTTTCCTCCAACACCCTGGCATTTAATCCCTGATCTGCCAAGAACGTTAACAGAATAAACGGTTTCGCGTTCTGAATGCCTTCCACCACAGAGTTACAACCACAGTGAGTCAAGAACCCACCAACAGCCACGTGTCCCAATATCTTCAACTGCGGTACCCAACTGGTGCACACAATTCCACACCCTCTGGTTCGCTCTTCGAACCCTTCCGGTAATCTTAGCACATCAGGATCCCACGGCCCACGTCGAACCGTCAGCGCCCATAAAAACGGAAGCTTTGATTTTTCTAAACCCAAAGCTATCGCCGTCACTTCATCTTGACTTGGTTTCGCTTCGGTTCCGAACGCCACGTACACCACGCTCCCATGTTTCTGCCTGTCCAACCAATCCTTCATCCACTGCCACGTCTCGCCAAATAGGCCACCGTCTAACCCTGTGCTGACGAGCTGCCCTACAGGGAGAACCGGTTTTTGGTAAATGTTCTCCAGCAGATGAAACCACTCCGGTTGGAAGTCGGTGCACCCTCGAATCACCACGATGTCACAGTTCAGGATAGTGGCACCTACCCGGTAAGCGTCAGAAACGCCAGAATCATTATCGTACATGAAGTCAAAGATTTTTTTTATCTCGAAGTACCGATATGCGACGGTGGTTGGAAAAGGAACCCACGACGGAGGGACAGTGAAGTCTTCAGGTTTTGTCCGGATGGGATCGTTGCCCATGATAACTGAAGGGGCTCCGAAAAAGCACATAGAGGATGGAGGGAAAATGCAGAAAAAGGCACTCTTGATACCGAATTTGGAAGCGACAGAAGGTGCCCAGAAGGGAGCGAAATCGTAGAAAAGCCAATGGGCTTTGGAAGACTCGAGATAACGGGTGAAGGGTTCTTCCAAAGCATCGTAGGCTTTCTTGAGGTACTGAACGACGTCGTAGGGGACGTCAGTGGTGGCCTCTGCGTTTTGTGGAAGGTTTTGGACTGTGGGCAGTGGAAGGTTGACGAATTTGATGAGTGGAGCCAAGTTTTGTGAGAGTTTTGGGAGACGCTGTATGTTTCTTGGGGTGGATACGAAGCTCACATGGTGACCCTTTCCAGCAATGAGCTTGGCTAGCTCGAGGTTTGGGATCATGTGTCCAAAGGCTAACCATGGAAACAACACTATGTGAAGCTTTTCTTCTTTCCTTGCTTCCATGATGATTGGTCTCCACAATCAATAACGCAGCTCAAGATGGATATTTATTCATAAAAAATAATATTATAATAATAATTTTAATTTATTTTTATTTTCATTGAAACTTTTTATCATTGATATATTAATAACGAAGGATTGTAGAAGAAGTTGTTTGTATTGTTCGTGTCAAAATATCATTGCTCGATCGGTATTTATTATGGGATGATAGTTTGACGAATTTTTTCTTCAGTCGCACCTAAAAAATCGGTATTTATTATGGGATGATAGTTTGACGAATTTTTGTCTACAGTCACACCTAAAAAATCGGTATTTATTATGGGATGATAGTTTGACGAATTTTTGTCTACAGTCACACCTAAAAAATCGGTATTTATTATGGGATGATAGTTTGACGAATTTTTTTCTACAGTTGCACCTAAAAAATCGGTATTTATTATGGGATGATAGTTTGACGAATTTTTTTCTACAGTCGCACCTATTCATTCTTTTAAGTTGAGAATTTGATTATATGGTGGTACAAAAACCTGAACGATGCATTTTTATTTTATTTTTCATTAAACCAGTTAAAATTCGGTTTTCGATCATCGAATTTTGAATTAATTTTTTTAATTTTTATTTATTTTGTTAAAATAATTAACTAATATAAATATATATATAATATTATAATATTTTATTTAAAATTTATAGAATTAAATTATAATTTTAAAAATATTTATATATTCCTTAAATATTTAAAATAATATATTTAGATTTATTGTTCAACTCAAAATATTTTTAAAATATATTATTAAATATTTTTTTTAATATATTATTAAATATTATATTTATATTTTATTTGTATGATTAAATTTTTAATTTTTTAATTTATTTGATATTGTAATTTTTTTTAAAATAAATAATAAATTAGAAGATTAATAAAAATCTTAAAAATTATATGTATATAAAATAAAATAATATTTTAATGTAAAATTATATTTTTGAAATATATTTTTGTTTGTGTTTTGTAATATTTTAATATATATATATATATATATATATATATATATAGAAATAAAAATAAGTTATAATATATATATATATATATTAAAATATAATTTATTTTTAAGTTGATAATTATTATTTTAATAAATGTCAAATATATATATATAATTAATTTAAAGTTTATATATATGTCATTTTAATTTATGTAATATATATATATATATATATATATATATATATTTATTTAACATTAAAAATAGTTATATTTTTATTATTTTTATAATTATAAATTTTTTTAAGGTTATGATACGAAGCTCACTTGGTGACCCTTTCCGGCGATGAACTTGGCTAGCTCGAGGTTTCGGATCATGTGTCCAAAGGCTAACCATGGAAACAACACTATGTGAAGCTTTTCTTGTATCTTCGCTTCCATGATGATTGATCCACCCACCTGCCTCCACAATCAATAACAGTGCTCAAATATATTTGTAACAACTCGTAAATTCTATTTAAAATTTTCACTAATTAGAATTTTCACTAATTGAAGGAAAAAAATAATTTTTTCACCTAAGTGAGGTATAATAGTTCAGTTTACATATCCAGAATAGTTGAAAAGAAAAAAGAAAAGAAAACATCACACATCAAAAGTCCTAATTACACGAATATTTTACATTTAATTACACAACACAATAATTCCTTCAAATTTAGGAGGTCTCTACTCCATTTCTCAAATCACTGGGTCTTACTACCACCTGTAGAAGATTTGGAATTTTCTCACGTGTATAACACGATCAATGCAAGATCCAAAAGATCAAGCACGCAACAAAAGTAAGGGTAAGTTACAATTTGATCAAATATGTAGAACAATGTAACATTGTAAACAACATTTATTCATTGACAAACATCCTAAAACTAGACTCACCGGAGAGTCTAGCATTTTACAATCACAACACACAACAAGACTGAGGCTTTCCGGAAAACTATATGGAATTCAGACCAGTAAAGTAGACACTTGATGAGGAATATTTGGGGTCCCAGACCCTTAAAATTTTATGGCCCCAGGCCTATAATATCATTTTTTTTTTCAACATCTCATAAGAGCAACACATGCATAGGATTGACACTATGATGTGTCTCCATCGACTTCCCACCACAAATGTCTTCGTCTATATGACTAGGAACATCTTGGAAGTCTGGATACCCTATTACGCCTATCCATAATTCTATACACATTATTCTACACAGTACATCAAATCTATCATTCAACAACTATTTCATACACACTATTCTATTTAGGGTTTCTAGAATCAAACCAGCATCATGTAGTTCAAAATGTCCAGTCCAACATTTAAAATTCTCAACTACTATGCAATCATAATTCACTTAAAACGGTACATCCTTTCTCCTTCAAACCACACAAACCAACCATACAATTTAGAAATTCAATTATACAAAGATATCTATTTCAAAACAATTTACAAGTTTTTCACAGTGCTCACAATATCATATCAGATATAGCACGTATATATATCACAAGCATACTCTCATATACATATATCATGTATATATATCACAAACATACTCTCATATCACATATAGCATGTATATATGTCACAAGCATATTCTCATATCACATATAGCACGTATATATATCACAATTATACTCTCATATCACATATAACACGTATATATATCACAAACATATTCTCATATCACATATAACACGTATATATATTACAAACATACTCTCATATCACATATAGCACGTATATATATATATATATATATATATATATATATATATATATCACAAACATACTCTCATATCACATATAACACGTATATATATCACAAACATACTCATCATTCACTTTATTAAACTTTTCATCAATACAATACAACCAGTAAAAATTAAAGAAGCCTCCCTTACCTGAGGGTGATGTTACACGTCAACCTAATTCCAATAAAATCTTAGGAATGCCAAAACACCTAAGAGGTACCGTTCTCCCCCAATTTGGAAAACCCTAAAACGAAATTGAAGTAATAAACATAGTTAAACCTGAAAACATGAAATTGGGGAGTGATAGAGTAAGAGAAAACCTTTAATTCCACAATTAATTCCTTAAATTCTCAACCCCCAAATTTTAACTAGCAAAAACCCTAAAATTCAAACTTACCGAAACGAAATTCTAATCGGTGGGTCTTCTGTTGTTCTCCGCCATGAGCACAACGGCGGTCTCAGATTCTTGATCGGGGAAGAAGAAAGTCTTGATCTGTAGGAAAGAAGGTAGAACTGAGTTATGGAGATGGGGGATTTGTTTGTACGAAGAAGAAGAAAACCAGATTTTCTCTCTCTTCTTCTTTTTACTTTTCTTTTAATTACAGCATATTACAATACTTCCCAACAATTTAAAATTTTCGTCCTCGAAAATCATACTTACCAGGTAAACAGTTGCAGATAGTTTTTTCGCATCTTTTCCTCTAGTTCCCATGTGCAATCACTCGGCTTGGTATTCCAGACTACCTTGACCACTCTGATGGTTTTACCTTTATACTGCCTGAGTTGTGAGTCCTCTACTCTCACTGGAGTGGCTTCAAAAGACAGATCTTCTCTCACTTGGATTTCATCAGGTTCCAAAATGTGGCTCGGGTCAGACACGTATTTCCTCAATTGAGATACGTGGAATACAGGGTGCAGCCTTGCCAAGGGAGGGGGCAGGGCAATCTCATAAGCTACTGGTCCAATACGCCTAGTAATCTGGTAGGGTCCAATAAATTTCGGGGTTAGCTTCTTGGGTTTTATGACTCTCCCAACTCCAGTCATAGGTACGATTTTGAGAAAAAAACATGATCACCAGTTGAGAACTCCAAGGGTCTCCTCCTCCTATCCGCATAAGACTTTTGGCGGCTCTGTGCAATCTTCATTCTGCTCTGTATTAACCTCACTTTGTCTGTAGTCTGTTGTACTAACTCTGGCCCAACTAGGAATTTCTCACCATCCTGATACCAACACAAGGGAGTCCTACACTTCCTCCCGTATAGAACCTCAAAGGGTGTCATTCCAATACTAGTATGGAAACTGTTATTGTATGTGAATTCTGCTAAGGGAAGTACTTCGTCCCAAGCCCCCATATGATCCAGCACACAAGCCCTCAACATATCTTCTAGGGTTTGGATGGTTCTCTCAGACTGTCCGTCTGTCTGGGGATGGTAGGCGGTACTAAGCCTCAGTCTGGTTCCTAATGTTGCTTGTAAGGTCTGCCAGAATCGTGAGGTGAACCTTGTGTCTCTGTCTGACACAATACTGGAGGGTACCCCGTGTAACCTCACTACTTCCTTGATGTATAACTGAGCCAATTTGTCCATAGACATTCTTAGATTGACCAGCAGGAAGTGGGCACATTTAGTCAATCTGTCTACAATGACCCAGATGGAGTCATGTCCTCTAACTGTCCTGGGCAGGTGGGTAATAAAATCCATAGATATGTTGTCCCACTTCCACTCAGGCAACTCTAGTGGTTGTAGCATTCCACCCCGTCTCTGATGCTCTACCTTGGCCTTCTGACATGTTAAGCAGCTAGTAACATATCGAGCTATATCCTGCTTCATCCCAGGCCACCAGAAAGTCTCCTTCAAATTTTGGTACATCTTAGTCACTCCAGGGTGTATACTCAACTTACTTTTGTGCCTTTCCTCTAAAATTGTTCCTCTCAACTCATCACCTACAGGAACACAAACTCTGTCCTTCAACCTAAGCACACTATCTGTTCCCAAAACAAACTCCTTCACTTTTTCTGTACCCAAAGAGTTTCTAATCTGTATAAGGCTAGGATCCTTCATCTGGCCTTCTTTAATGATTTCCAAGAAGTCACTGGTGATAGTCATCACCCCACAGTTGATACTAACTGGTGAAATTTCAAAGCTTAGATTTAGATCTCTGAAGCTCTCTATCAATTCCAATTCCTTAATCATCAGTGTAGACATTCCAATCGCCTTTCTACTGAGAGCGTCTGCCACTA